AAATAGTCTGGCAAAATCTAGAAATTTCTTTCAAGACACGTAGGCAAAATATAACCAAAGTGATGAGAGTCTGTTGTTAGTCACAAGTGGTTAACACTTACAGCTTGCGACAATGATAAAAATGTGAATGTCAATGGTCAGCTTGCTAATGCTAATACCAGGAAAGTAGAAATGTTTTCTTAGGAATTTTTGACTTAAGCAAAATTTGAAATAAGCAAAACTTTTCTGAACAGAATGATTCTGCAATTTTCATAAGCCAAGAACTCTTCAAAATACATTTCTGGGGCTCTTGCATAAATAATCAGAGCCTTGTTTAATATTATCTAGCTGTTCCCTTAACACATTTGCTGTATGATACCTTATACCTTTGCTGTTCCTTTTGATTGAAATAGCCTCAAGCTTCTCAGGTACCTGTTAAGCTCAAATATCATCTCTTCTATGAAGTACCACAACAGGATCAATTGAATTCTCTGAGGCAGAATGAACTCCTCAGCACTCTGAGTGCCAGCAGCATTTTGTGATTTGCCTTTCTAATTACACTTATTACATTGTATTATCCATATTGGTGGAGGTATCTCTGTTCCCTACTAGAGTGTGAGCTATTCATTAACTTTGCATCAGTGCCTGCTTCACAGTAAAGCTTCCATATAGATGGTTTTAATGGTTGAATCATTCTATTTTTTTCTCCACCTTTCTGTGTCACTGTAGTGCCCAGTTCATGTTTTCCAGTTTTGGCTAACTTCATGGCTAACATTATTAAAAAGTTCTGATCTCACAATCCTCCTATATAATAAAAGGGTAATATGCAAATCGACCAAACAGCAGAACGACCAGTCACTATGATGCGCACTGACCACCAGGGGCCAGACGCTTAACACAGGAGCTGCCCCTGGTGATCAGTGCACTCCCACAGGGGAGTGCTGCTCAGCCACAAGCTGGGATGACGGCTGGCAAGCACAGTGGTGGTGGCAGGAGAGGCAGTGCTAAGGATGTCCATCAGTTGGACATCCCCCCGGGGCTCCCAGATTGCTAACGGGTGCAGGCAGGGCTGAGGGACCCTCCCTCCCCCAGTGCACAAATGTCGTGCACTGGACCTCTAGTTAGAATATAAATTGCCTTTAATTAGTCACAAATTCGTCTTGGAAAAAGCAAGGGGTTGAAATTTTAAGACCCATCTTTATCACTAAGAAATTATGTGGTTTGGGGCACTCTATTTACCTGCCTTAGCTCCAGTTTTTTTTTTATATATAAAATGATAACATTACTAAATGATTTCTATATCCCCCATCCTCTCTAATTCTAGGAACCAGTATTCTTTCCTGGATTTATACAAAATTCATGGTCCAAATCATATCATTGTGTTTAATTAACAGTTTTCATCAATCTTGATTTGTGTCCTATTCCTTTGCTTTGCTTTTTCTTAAAAGCACAATCGAAGTTTTTGTGTGTGTGTTGTTTTGTTTTTATGGTTTTCTATGTCTTTAGAGCTCTGAAAGTCACAGATAAATGTTCAATCCTGACTCTGCTCCTTAGAAAACTAAATTTGTAATCTTGGCAACTTCAACATGGTTAAGCTCCAGTTTCCTTTTGCATGAAATGAAATGAATAATAATAGTGCTTGTTTCATAGGGTTATAACTATTCTTCTTCAGCATTTCTTATAACTCCCTGCAGTTGCAGGCTATAGGTAGGGATGCAAAACTACTAATTTCAAAATCTTAGTAGAACTTTAATTAACATTAATTTTATTTATTTCTACAGCATTTTTCAATAATTAAAGGTAATTTCATTATTGTTCTGTTCTATTATTAATGGTGAAGTAGCTAAAGCAGGTATTTCTCTTTTACTGTTAAAAAAGCAAAAGTTGGTCAGGTTTATTCAGGCAGAGATAGGACAAAGGCTCCCTGATGCCAGAACATCATGATAAAGATGTTTCATGTCTCTATCACCAATAATGTGAAATACTTTACATTTTAGTTCTAATTCTCATTACAATCTTTTTAGGACAGATTTTGTTGCCTTTAATGTACAGATATGAAATCTGAGGTTTGAAGAGACTAAGTAAACTCCCCCCCAAATCACTGATAAACATTGTCTCCCTAACTCCATAGACCCTGGGGTTTTTAGGACCCTCACCCCTTTCACAATGTCCCTCCCCCCTTTCTCTACTGAACTTTAGTGTATAATGTACCCTATATAATAAAAGCCTAGGTGGCGTCACAAGGTGGCCACCACAAGATGGCCATGTGCACAGTAGAGACAGGGCCTGGTGGTCGCTCCATGTGGTGAGGCCTGGGGGTCCCAAGGCTCTGTGCAGCGTGGAGGAGGCGGGTCCCAGTGGAGGAGGGCAGGTTGCGGCAAGGGAGGGCAGTTGGAGGCAATCAGGCCAGCAGGGGAGGGCAGTTAGGGCCAATCAGGCTGGCAGGGGAGCAGTTGGGCATCAATCAGGCCAGCAGGGGAGTGGTTAGGAGCCAGTGGTCCCGGATTGTGAGACATCCCCTGAGGGGTCCCAGATTGGAGAGGGTGCAGGCCGGGTTAAGGGACACCCTCCCACCGCCGCACAAATTTCATGCACCGGGCCTCTAGTTTATTAATAATAGAAGAACTACACCTACAGAGAAGAAGCATTAGAGTAGAATATAATTTTATAAAGTTAGTCTTAGTAAAAAGTGGTTATTTTCAACCTTTTAAGTTTACATATATCTTAATCATAATTACTGGTAAATATAAGAAATGTTTAAAAGTAATGCATTTATTTCACCATTGTTCCTTTTTTCTACATACTTTCTGGAGGTGATACAAAAGAACAATGAAATGAGTAAAACCCATGTTGCACACTAAAAAAAAGAAAGATAGAGAAGCTGTAATTTGTATAAATCCTTAAACTCCGTAGGTCACTGCCTCTGTCACCCTATTTTAATTATTGAGATGAAACTATAAAGGGATTCAGGGAATTTCTAGAGTCACAGAGTTCAAAGTCTGCTGAGAAAACATACCAACTATTCTTGTGCCATTCATTGTTTTTTAGGTCAATCTTTAATCCAAACATATTGCAGTAAATAGTATTATTTTTAATAGAGCAATAAAGAGAGTACAGCAGCTGGAGTTATCACCAATAAACTCTGGATTGAATTTATGTATTACAAGTGACCATTTACTTTTACTTATAACGGCTCTAGTAATGGATTATTTGTGAAGGATTTTTATGTGGTGTTATAAGTTACATAAATAAAACAAAAACTATGAATACAGACATATTAATATATATTATATTAAAGTTGCAGCAAAACTACTATGTCTCAGGACCAAAAGTCTCCAATTAGAAGGTGATGCACTTGTTCATTAAAATTGTAAAGCTGAAGGGCATCTTTCTAGAATTGCCCAATTGCCATCTAAACTAAAAATAGCAGCAATGAAACAAGTTTTGTGTTCTCTCTTTTATTTCACACATTTATATTAATGTTAGCAAATGTAAGAAGCAATTTAAAAATGCATAAACCTATCTATAAGCGGCCTCAAGAAAGAAAGCTGTTCCCAGACAAAAAGAAGCCTTTAGGATTATTCCAAATCAAATAAACTCTCAATATATTTTCACCCCCACATGTCCTTACTCCCCTCCTTTCCTCACTAAAATTCTCTGGACAACCATTCTAACCACCTCCATGAACGTACCCTTGACTTCTTTTCCTGATTGGGTTTTGTTTTTTTTCATGCTTAGCATAACTAGAGGAGTTGCAGGTTACACAGGTGTATGCACTTGTCAAAACATCAAATTATACACTAAAGAGTTATGCATTGCAAAATTTATAAAATATTGAACTCCAGCTAATAGGTTTGTGTTTCACAATGACATTGGTTAGCAATGTTAAAACTTGCTTAAACAAATGAATAAATATATTGAAGGTAATGGGAGTAGAGAGAGAGACAGACATTGATGTGAGAGGGACACTTTGATTGCACACATCCTGACCGGACTGGGGCCAGGATCGAACCTGCAACCCAAGTACATGCCCTTAACCAGGAATCAAACCTGAGAACTTTTGGTGCACAGGACAATGCTCTAATCACTGAGAAACACCAGCCAGGGTGAGAACACCCTTGTTTTTAGAAAATATTCACTGAACCATTTAGTGGTACAGGGTCACAGATGTCTTCAATTTATTGTCAAATAGTCAGAAAAAATCATGAGAATACACTAATCAAAACTCATAAGACACCAGTGAGAAAGATAATTCAAAGAATTATAGCCTGGTTGGTGTGGCTCAGTGGTTGAGCATCCACCTATGAACCAGGAGGTCAGGGTTCAATTCCCAATCAGGTCATATGCCTGGGTTGTGGGCTCAATCCCCAGTGTGAGGCGTGCAAGAGGCAGCCAATCAATGAATCTCTCTCATTATTGATGTTTCTATTTCTCTCTCTCTCTCCCTTCCTCTCTGAAATCAATCTTATATAATAAAAGGCTAATATGTAAATTGACTGAATGGCAGAACAACCAGTCACTATGATGTACACTGACCACCAGGGTGCAGACGCTCACCGCAGGATCTGCCCCCTGGTGGTCAGTGCGCTCCCACAAGGGGAGCACCACTCAACCAGAAGCCAGACTCATGCTGGCAAGCGCTAAGGACCCCGAGGGGGATGTCTGACTGCGAGAGGGCACAGGCCAGGCTGGCCCCCCCCCACTCCCTCCAGTGCATGAATGTCATGCACTGGCCCTCTAGTCAATATATAAAGAATTATAGTGAAAAATAGAAATGTATGCCAATGCACATTAAAATAAAACTAGGAAAATAAAAACAAAGAAAAAATCTTGAAAGCAGTAAGAGAGAAATGACACCTTATCTATCAACTTGAATGAAATGAAGTTCTCATCAGAAATTATGGAAGTCCAAAGGAAATGGTGCATAATTCAAGTACTGAAAGAAAAAAAAACTATCAACCACAAATCCTTTATCTGGCCTCCAGAAATAAATTCTATATCTTATTCTCCAGAAATGTAGAAGAAAAAGAAATTTTCAGATGGATGAAAACAGATTTTATCAACAGTAGAACCTAGACTAAAATAATAGCTAAGGTAAGTCTTTGAATAAAAGAAAGGAAATGATTAAAGAAGGAATTGTAGAAGATTAAGAATGAAGAAAGAGAATGAATAGAGAAAAACTATGGGTAAATACAAAATACTTTCCTTCTTCTCTTGATTGTTATAAATTTTAATAGTTGAAACAAAAAGTATGGTATTCTCTGATGTGGATGAGGAAATGTATGTAGAAGAAATATTTAAGACAATTATATTATAAACTAGAGGCCCGATGTACGAAATTCGTGCAAGAGTAGGCTTTCACAGCCGCGGAAGCTTCCTCGATCCCTCAGCTGCAGCCCCGGCTTAATCCGGAAGGTCGTCCTGTCTAATTAGCATATTATGCTTGTATTATTATAGAAATGAAGGAAAGTAAAGGGGTTTAAAGAAAGGCAAGTTTTTTACATTTAATTTTGACACCAGTAGATCTTTCTGGTGAGAGAATTCTCTATCTGCATTGCAGTGGTGGTTACAGTCATCTACACATATGATAAAATGATATAGACCTATATGCTACATTGTACCAATATAAATTTTGTCATGTTGCACTATAGTTAATGCAAGAAGTAGCCAATGGGGAAAAGTGGATGAAGGATACTCAGAAACTTTCGGTTATTGTAACTTCTTGTAAATCTATAATTATTTTAAAATAAACAGTAAATAAAGCTTTTAAAAAGTCATTATAGGTCATATTTGGAAATTTCCAACTGTGAGAAAACACACAATAAAGAGTTGGTGTACTGGTAAAATTATAGAGCATATTTTCCCAGTGATGGGGTCTTTTTTTATAGACATTTACAATCTGTTTGATTTAGGGGATGCCGTTCTATTTTGATATTGATGTTATTATTATTTTCTGCTTTTTTATGTCTTTGATAAGAGCACTGAGTCATCTTGGCTGGGTCATGAGTATAACTGACAATTTTTTTAGCATTTCATATTATTTGTTATATTTAGCTATCAGGGCATAGCAGCAGATACCTTGGAAATCTGCAAGCATTTTTTTCTCTTTCAGGAAAGTGAAAAAGAACTAGCATAGGAGCCTCAGAATCTATCAGTGTCCCAACTAGATAATGGCATTTAATTGTGACAGCCAAATATAGGGTGTCCCCATTAACTTCTCACGATTCCTGCCACCCAACTTTGATCATGTTCTTGTTCTAAAACTATAGGTGATTTATTATTTGTGTTGCTAAAGTTTATAGAAATGTCTTGCTTTCTAGTTTTATTTAGATGTTTTCAAATTGATTTCTCATTTGCTGCCCTAATTGGTTTATTTTTCAGGAGGAATTTTAGAATATTAAAAACTTACCTTGCTGCCAAGATCACATCACTGGGAATTCCTCAACTTTCCTTTTGTTAATGAAAGAATATATCACAAAAGCACTCCATCTCCCAACCCATTTCATTTCACTTTCTCTCTTATGCCCACATTCAAAAGTAACTCCTGTCCATAACATGGTATGTCCTACTCTCATGAATGTCTTTGTACTTTTACTACATGTATATGCATGCATTAAATTTAATATTTAGAGTATTTACATATATGTTTTTATAATATATGTATGATTTGCTACTTGGTTTTCTTCACTAAAAATTATATCTCTTGAGATTTACTAGTATCTATATGGCAACGTGAGTTCTAAATCATTCATTTTAACTGCTATAGAATAGTACATGGTTTGAAGAAAGCATACTTTGTTTGCCAGTCCCCTGCCGAGGACGGCCTAATTAGAGTTGGATTCATATTTCTTTTGTTTCTAATACTGTGCTAAAACTGACCAGAAGGAGGCCTAATTTTTTCCAGGTTACACAGGCTTTTTCGCCTCCTTTCCACAGCAGCATAAATTTAAGGTAAGAAGTTAACTGTATGGGCTCAGGGATATACTTACCACTGCTTTCCTCAACAGTCATCTAGGGGATTCAACTTTAGTCTTGTTGCATTACATTTTACACAGACATTTTACACATTCTATGTGAAACAAGATAGAGCATGACTGAGTAAATGAGCGTATTGTGTATGCAGCCAACTGTAATCTCAAATTTTCTATTATTATTATTCAGTATCATAAGAGAGTCAAGTACAGTAATAAAAAAAATTATCAGAAAACAGAAGTCTTCTTCAGGGAAGGAAGGATTACAAATCTCAGACTGGTCAGAAATAAAAATTTATAGCATAAATATCCACATTTCATGTTACGAACTGCATGTGGGATTAAAGTACAATGTTATTATAGGTAGATCTCAACCTTCGGAATCAGAGGAGACTGCTGGCGGGGGTTTTATTATTGGGTGTCCCAGCTGACTGCCCCCAGAATACTCCAGCAGTTACATGCTGGAAAGAGGAAGCAGGTGTTATCAGATGACTGCTCAGGAATGTGACCTAAAGGGGACACTGACTCGGACACAGAGACTGGTCATATGGCTCTCTTTGGTGGGTTGTTTTAAATAGTTGTCTGCAACTCTTGATGTCTGTGATCCATGCCTAGGTCACCTTCAACAATTTCTCTTCCTGTAAACAGGGAAAGCAGTGCTGGGAAACAGGCAAGTGAGAGTCAACAAGTGGGAGACATAGTCACTGCTGGCCCTGTTAGCTAGTATGACACTACAAGCCAGCCCCAGAGTCAAGTCTAGCAATCCTTAGATATTTCTGGCTGCTTTGTTTACAAATTGAACCTCAAAGTAATGAATACTAGCAAGGTTAGGATGGTATTAGCTGAAAGAGTTCAGGATTTGAAGGGATCAAGTCTTAGTCCCATTACTTAATAGCTTTGTAGCCTTGGTCTTGTAACCTATCTAGGTGTTATTACTTCAATTTGTAAAATGGTGATTATAATAGTGACCTCAACAGCTTAATGTAAAGAAATAATAAAATATAAGGTGTGGGAAAATGCTATAGATGCTGAATATTTACTGGTTCCTTTTTCATCAACCACCCAATGTTTGGGTTGGGTGTTAGAAGACATTCGTATATTCACATTGGAAATAAATTCACCCTATCCATGCTAACCACCCTTGTTATTGCTCAAAAAGCAGACGTTTTTCTGCTTTAACACAATGAATCTGGCTATTCCCTTTCCCTGAATGTTTTCTCAATTATGCACATGGGCTGACTTTTTTACCTCCTTTAACTATTTGCTCAAATATATCCTCATCGTGACTTATGTCAACAGCCTCACTTAAAACTGCAATCTACATGCCTTTCTCTCATTACTGTACTACTGATTCTTATCACCATACTTCTTTTCTTTTTTTAATACAATTTCACCTTCTAGAACTCTGTAAGATTTATTTGTTTATTCTCTGCCTTTCTTTACTAGAATGTATACTCCATACAGTCTAAAATCTTTATTTAATTCACAACTGCTTCCTGATATGTCATTGGGGCACAATAAATGCAGGGTGGGACAAAAGTAGATTTACAGTTGTTCGTATGGAAATAATACAATAATTTGCTCCATCCTGTATTTTTGAATGAATGCACACAGGCATTTCAGACTAAATCGGACTATAGAATTTACTCAGGAATCGACTGTGTCCTGAATAAACTACTATGCTTTTTTCTTTTTCTTTTTTCTTTTTTTTTTCCCTCCATATCCCCAGAGCCTGGAGGGTAGGAAATATAAAATGTATAATGGAATGGATAAAAAAAAGGTTCACGTACAATGCTGAGGATTACCCAGATTCAGGCAAAGATCCATATCATTATTCTCTTCTTTCTGAATCTAACAACCAAATATGCTGGTTTAGGATTTTTTCCATATTTAACTAATGTTATGAATCCAGAAGGTCAAGAAAATGTGAAGAATGTTAATTATGGCCTAAGAACTTTGATTTAATCACAGTGAATATTCACATTGAGTCATTTAAAGTTTGAATGTTGATATTTAAATTAACAATGAAGTTATGTTCATCATTTTTGTAATAAAAGAGCAATAAAATGAAATTCAGTTGTACCTCATCACTAGATAGTCCCACCTTGCTACCCATGTCATTTTGAGTTTGGCCGGGCAGGATGTTGGTTGTCATCCGCTCCCATGGAGTGACCCTAGGTACCCCCACCCAAGTGAAGAGACACAACTGATTATGCCCCTTCTGAGAATCTATTTTTTGTTCTTAAAATTTTCTGCTCTATATAAAATCAATAAATAATCTTAAGAGAATACAAACACCCTCTTAATACTAAGAGATGATACCATGCTCAGAGAATTTTTAGAGTTAAATTGAAAATGAAGAATAACTTCATGGTTGTGTTATTTGGAGGAACACATACTGTGAGACATAGGGCAAAGAGAAATGAATGCATGTTATACATATAGGGAAGAAAGTTTACAGAAATCATGGTAAGTTTTTGTCAAGACAGCTGGAATTCAGATATGCTTTATTATCACCTGACCTCTCTCCCTTGACTTCTAGCAGTTAAAGTGATGGCCTTCCCCATGAGATCTCTCTATAATGAAAACTTTAGGACAAGTTAATCTGATTTCACACAACTGCTGTGCTCAGTCATCTATACTCGGTGTCATCAAACAACCAGGCATCGTGCAAAGGCTTTATGTGACGCTAGCATCTGATCTTGCGTTATAACAATGCATTTGTCAATTAAGTGGCCTTTGTCTTCAGATATTAACACAGTTCAGGATTTCACAGGTTTCACTGGAGAAATATGCCTTAGAAAAGCACTGAAATTGTCTATATTCTACCTCATCACTAACACATTCACTTACTGAACACACAGGATAAAGGAAACATGCAATAATTTTCTGAAACGATGTGAGGACAGACAATTACGTTGATCGTTGTAGTAAATAATGTATGCCCTCAAAAATATGCTTCAATGTGTGCAACAGTCTTAATGTGCTTCACTTTAGAGACAGAGCTCCCAGGTGGCAGACAAAACCACCAACTTGTTCATGATTCATTCTAACTTCTTTACATCGGACTGCAACTGGAGACACAGAGAAGGAGCAAGCAAGCTGGTCCAGATTCTACCATTGGAGATGATTGAGCTGAAATTATGACATCTGGAGGTCTAGAAGGAGAAATCAGAAAATAAGACCATAACCCAGGAGTATACTATTAAAGTATAGATGAGCAAAGATGGGCAGTCCTACATAGAAATTCTATATCAAGTGGAGGAAATGAACATATGCTTGCTCCCAACACTCTGACCACATAAGTATCACTCACGTCCCTGTGGTTAATTGTAGGATAGAAATGATGGTAGAATGAGAAACATAACAAATCGTTAGTGATAAAAGTAACTTTGAGGACAACTAATCCAACCCCCAGTAATTTTATAAAGGATGTAAATTGGTTTTTAATTGAAGTCAGATAATGTGTTCTTAATTCACAGTTGGTTGATACCAGAGAATATACCAGAAAAAAAAGAATATACCATCTTTGCCATTAAGTTGTATTTGTCTTATTAGGTTCATATAACATATTAAGGCATCAAGTCATATGATACCAAATAATTGAACTGGCCATGTGGTTCACTTAGTATTCAAATTTCTGAATGAATTTTTATTTTATTTTGTCATTGCCTTTGTTTGGTATTAGTTATAATGTTCTTTTTTACTTCAATTAAAATATTATCTTCAGTTATCCTTTTTTTTCTGCCTAGACACAGGTCATCTGTATAAACAGGAGTACCCAGGGTCTGTTCCTGGTCAGCCACCCTGATTTCTACCCTGCAATTAACCACAAGGACGTGAATGTACAGCCCTGAGAAGAGAGCCAACCAGAGGGCCTGCCATCGGGTGATTTTAGACACTGAACATTGGCACAGCAATTAAATTCAGCCAGCCGGAGAAGCAATAAAATATATAGATCCAGATTACTGGTCATCTATTTCAGATGCATGGCTCTGGTTACACAATGAAAACCCAGAAGCCACGGATCACAGCAGAGGTTGCTATAGTCAATCTAGTTACCAACTCACAGACGTACAGCTGAGAGTCATTTAGTAGCCAGCTCTTGCCCAAGGTCACAGAAGTCATTAATGTCTGACTCAGAACAAACACCAAGGATTCCTCACATGAGTCCAGGATTCTCTCCAACTAATTTTTCCCATCATCATTTACCCCCCTGTACCCTCTTTCACCTCCACCCCTGCCCCCCACAATCACCGCATTGCTGTCTGTGCCCATGAGCTCTTTCTCTCTCTTCTTTCTAACTACGTTTTAACAGTGAGAATAATGTAGCTCTGCGAGAGATTTGTGTATATTTTTCTAAATTCTATGGCATATTTAATTTCAAATGAATCCTACTTGAAGTTTGAAGGCTCTGGGTTCATTTTGAAACTGCAAGTTATTTACAAATCTTAAAAGTAGTAAACTAGACTAACTTTAGTTTGTTTACTTAAGAAAAGGAAGGACAGATTGCCCCAAACCCCAAGCTGTTGATGCCGAGGAATTGGACTATATAAATCAAGGACACAGGAAATATCAAATGCCCACAAATGCAGTCAGTGGCAAATGTTATGTGCTGGTGTGTTGGAGAGGTTTAAAAGTAAGTGTAAGACGAGAAAGAAGATAAGGAAGAAGGAAAAGTGAGAAGGTAAATTTTTCTCTTAAAACTGTAAGTTACCCTTTTTAATGACAGGTCTTGCCCAATTTAGTAAGCCAGGATGACTGAATTATTTTCTCAAAAAGTTGTGAATGTACCCATATGCTATTTTCTACCTCCAAAAGAGGAATCTATAGCACTTTAGAGGACTAGGGAATTAATGGCTGAGCAATCCCCTTCAGAGTGCTGCTCACTTCACTTGTTAAGGCAGTGGTTCTCAACCTTCTGGCCCTTTAAATACAGTTCCTCATGTTGTGACCCAACCAAAAAATTATTTTCGTTGCTACTTTATAACTGTAATGTTGCTACTGTTATGAACGTAATGTAAATATCTAGTATGCAGGATGGTCTTAAGCAACCCCTGTGAAAGGGTCGTTCGACCGCCAAAGGGGTCGCGACCCACAGGTTGAGAACGGTTGTGTTAAGGGATCCAACCTTGTGGATACAAAGCAGTTGAATTTACCATGAATCTAGAAGTAAAATAAAACTTCTGTTTTGCTGTTATCATTTTTCAGTGTTTATTATATGTCACAAAATGTTTCACCTTAAAGTCCTCATCTGTATTCCTGGAGGAGGGGCCGCCTGTCAGTTGCATTATGCTGTAAAATGAGTGAATTGTAAACTTTCATGATGTGAAGTCACTGGAAATTGGAGTTGTTTGTTACAGCTCCTAATGTTACTTACCCTGACTTATGCACAGAGGAACACATCATTTTCAAACAGGTTGTTTTTTTTCTATGTGGTAGACAGTATATATAATTTTTCACCAATATTTCTTCTTTCTCACTTCTGTATACCTAGAGGATGTGATTACTGGCTTAGTCGAAGTTGAGAAAAACATTTGTGACTAGTTCTGGCCAATAAATTGCAAGTGAAAGTTATGTGTGGCTGAGGCTGTGGAAATGTGTTTAATTACCCAGGCTCTCTTTTCCCATGCTGAGTGATTGAGAGAACTTGTGTTCTAGATGGTGCAGACACAACATAGTACAGCACCCACTGGCCTGGGTTCCTGAGTGACTGTGGAGTTGAGCTCCATGTCACTCAGCAAAACATATATAAGTTTAGCAGGAAATAAATTTTTATTAGATTAAGCCAGATTTTGAGGTTATTCATTAGTGCAGTGCAACTTGCCCTATTCTAATATATGTCATACAAGCTAGAATATGTGTTTGTATATATACATATCCTATATAATAAAAGCCTAATATTCAAATTGTCCCCTTCCCGGGAGTTTGACCACTCGCTATGACATGCACTGACCTCCAGGGGGCGGCGCGGAACATGGCAGGTGTTGGCGATGCAGTGCTGGCAGCGGGCAGCAGTGGAGGCGCCACTGGCCCCAATGGGTATGGCCACTGCCTGGCTCCCAGGCACTGAGGGAGCTGGGCGGGGCCCAATGACTCCTGCAGGGGAGGAACGTGGGGACCCGGGGGCCCAGGTGCTGCCCAGGGCCCAGAGGTCAGCTGGGACCTGCCCTTCCACACCAGAGGCTTGCGCTTCCAACGTCAGCTAGGCCTAGGGACTGCACCTGTGTACGAATTTTGTGCACCAGGCCTCTAGTATGTATATATTCATGCATGTATATATACATGTGTATGTGTAGATTTATGTATATAGATTTATACACAGATAAACATATATGCATGTATTAGAATATGTATATATGTAACATATATACCCATATGATTACTAAATTGTTGCATGAGGAATTTTGATGCTATAGCAGTGCTTTATTTAATGTCTTTAAAAGAAAATAATTTTTAGCAATTTAGGTCATTTTTTATAACACCAGACCAAATACAAAGCACAGATGACCTCTGTTGGAGGTGCTGCAAGGTGGTAATCACACCCCTTGTCCGCTCTGCATTCTAAACAGTATGAAAAATAACAACAGGAAGTAAGTGAAATTGTGGATATTAACATAATAGCTTTTTCACCCTAATACATGGTCAAAATGGACTTTTCTACTCTCTACCACCTAATGTGAACTAACTCACCCATGTCCCTGCAGGGAGAGCAGCTGGAGGACCTGGGCTTTCCCCTAGATGTGAAGAGCCCTGCTCCAAAGAGCTTAGTTAGTGTAGGAAGCAGTTAGCAAAGAGGAGAGCAGGAACTACTAGAAGACATGTTGCAGAGGAAACAAGACACTATTGTCTTGCACAATGACGTTCACCTCAATCTTACCCTTCAGAGAAGTGAATAATGAGGCAGTAGGGAAGAGAGACTCATGATGGTCTTGTAATATTGTTTCCTCAGAGAGAGGCACAAGGTTCCTTTTGTCTATTGAATTTTGAGAAGTTGATTAGTAACCTTTCTCTTCCCCCTATGTAACCTCTTCTGCAGCTTTGCAGTTATCACTAGTAACTGTCTCCTCTTATTAAGGAGACATGACGACTGAGTACAAGTGATATACTGAATTGGAACCTGGAAGAGAAAACAATGATTCTGAGTTAGTGGGAAAACTGGCGAAATCTGAACAAAGTCTGGAATTTAGTTGATAGTGATGTACCAATGGTCATTCCTTTGTTATAATAAATTTACCATAGTTGTATAAAATGTTAATGTTTAGGATGCTGGGATGCACGATATATGAGAACACTCTATGCTAACCTTGCAACTCTTCTGTAAATGTAAAATTATTTTAAAATAAAAAAATACATAAGGAGAAATATCCATCTTCTTCTACAAGCTATGGGGCACAATCATTAGAAATCTAATTCTATGAATAAGTTTATAACAAAGCCTGCTTAAAGGATAAATGGATTAGGTAGAGGGAGGCTGAAGAGATATTTTAGTGTTCCCCTTAATATTCCTTTTTTATTGAATTTATTGGGGTGACATTGGTTAATAAAATTATATCAATTTCAGGTATGCAATTCTATAATACTTTATCTGTATATTGTATTGTGTGTTCATCACCCCAAGTCAAGTCTCCTTCCATCACCATTTATCCCTCCTATAACCTCTTCCTGCTCCCTCCACCCCGCTTTCCCTCTGGTAATCACCATACTATTCCAACTTAAACTTAATAGGAGTACTCTTCTTATACTACCCTGTAACAAAGCTTAGACAAGATGGGCACATATAAGTAAATCTTCACTGAAGGCAAGTAAATAATGAAAAAAAAACAACACTTCAGAAAGCTGATCCTATCTAATAATAGAGAAACATGGTAATTAGCCATACCTCCACTACCCTTCCCATTGGCTAATCAGGGCGATATGCAAATTAACTGTCAACCAAGATGGCGGCCGGCAGCCAGGCAGCTTGAAGCTAACAGGAGGCTTGCTTGCTTCAGTGATGGAGGAAGCCAATGTTCCCAGTCTGCGGCTGCCGGCCTCTGAGCTTGCAGTTTGAAACATTGTTACAAATATAGAAGCTAAACAAAACCCCAGAAACCTGCTTTCAGTCAGCCAGGATCTCAGAGCTGGAGTTGAAACAGTGTTTCGATTATAGAACCCAAACAAACCAGATACCTGCTTTCAGCAGCCGAGGCCTCAGAGCTGGAGCCAAGCCTCAGAGCTAAAGCTGGCCCAGAATAAAAA